AGAAACAGCATCCAAGGTTGCAGAATTGTCTCGGTTGTAAAAACTTTTCACTTCTTTGCTCATAACTTCTTGGCATTTTTGTATTTGAGGCAGATTTTTTTCAGACCTGGCATCTGCCAAAAGGCAAATTTCATTTGAGCAGAGCTGGTTGTCTTGTTTCTGCGCCTGGAAGTGTGACACAAAAATAACGACAGTAATAAAACAGATTTCCATTCAATTTTTTTTTTTAATACATTTGCAGCAAGGGTGTGAAAGGTGATGTTTCCTGTAGGAACAGCCTTGACTGAGGAGCTGTGCCTTTCATTGGCTATGGGAAAATCGAATTTTGTCTGAATTACTGGTGTTAGAAAATCACCTGCTGGGCTCTGCAGTGCTGCAAAGTCCTCAGCCGGCAGCGGTGAGGGAAGGACTCACCTGCTCACTGGCTCCTTGAGAAGACTTTTCAAAAGAGGGGAAGTCCAGCCATGTGTTTAGCAGGTGACCTGCAGGAAGGTGTCTCTGGCTGGTACGTCTCCATTGCAACATTTCCGAGCTGAGAGCATCCATGTTTCTTCAGCATGGATCCAGAAGGTACATACCTGCTTTCTTGTGACTCGGAGTGGAAGCAAATGTGTCTTTTCATAGAATCATAGAATGATTTGGGTTGAAAGGGACCTCAAAGATCATCTAGTTCCATCCCTCCTGCCATGGCAGGGACACCTCCCACGAGATCAGATTGCTCAAGGCTCCGTCCAGCCTTGAACACTTCCAGGGATGGAGCATCCACAGCCTCCCTGGGCAACCTGTCCCAGTGCCTCATCACCCTCAGGGTAAAGAATTTCTTCCTTATATCTAGTCTAAAACTATGCTCTTCCAGCTTCCACCCATTGCCCCTCGTCCTATCGCTACAGGCACTTGTAAAAAGTCCCTCCCCAGCCTTCTTGTAGCCCCCTTCAGGTGCTGGAAGGCCACTGTAAGGTCTTCCCAGAGTCTTCTAGGCTGAACAAGCCTAACTCTCTCAGCTTCTCCTCGTAGGAGAGGTGTTCCAGCCCTTTGACCATCTTGGTAGCCCTCTTCTGGACTCACTCCAACAGCTCTATGTCTTCAGAGGGAAGCTGGCTCTATACAGAGCCACCTCAGCTCCCAGGGCTGGGAGTTCAGCTGTGACTCCTGGAGCCAGAAGGACCTTGGTGATGTGTCCAGGATGTGACCTGGATGAAGGTGCCTCCATGTGCTCATGTCCTGCCTGAACTAATCCCTGTAATGATCCTTCGGGAGCCAGGACAGAGGCACAGCAGTGGTGGACCAAGTGAGAGCTAATAAATCCAGAGGGACCCACTATGTGGTTATCTTTAACTTCTTGTAGAAATAGCAGAGCGGCTGTATTATTAGAGGTTTCCAGCCACCCTGGTTACCTAAGGGTCCCCCATGCACCGTGGCTACAGATAAGGGGGTGCTTTCCCTAGAATAAATAGTTGCTTCCACCTGAAATCAAGGACAGATGCCTGAACTGTGGTTCAGCAAGGTGTTTTACCCCAAGGCTCTGGATATCCTTAATCTATGGCACGTGTCCAAGTGTGTTACACGGTTGATGCTAGCAGGGGGAAGATGCAGTGTTAATTGGGGATACCTGCGCTGCGTGTTCGAGCAGTGCAGGCTGAGATCATGCCGGTAGAACAGGCTTCTGTGCGTCTCCTCTCAGCAAACCCCGCTTCTTGGTGCCTTCTAATGCTGCAAGATGGACACTTAAGTTTCCTTCTAGGTCAGCCATTCATCACAAACGCATTTAGACCTAATTGCTAATTAATTTTCCCTAGATAGCGTAGATTTTTTTTTCCTCAGTATGTGAAATCCAGAAGAACTTTCTGAGAACCAGCTGCAAGCGAGTTGACTGTAATTGGTGTTCTCTCACTTAGGTGAGAAGTAACAGTTCATCAACTCTTAATTAGCCTGGACTTTTTAGAGAGCTTTTTTCTCATTTTTTTGACAGGGAGATATACATCTTGTTTCTCCTGTAGCAATACAAAGAAAGCCATTTTTCTTTGAATTAACAAATCGGGCTGCATTTGTTGGTGTTTTCTTCCTCCTGATGGAGAGTGCCAAGCTACATGTCATACCTGGATTGCTGAGCAATTTATTCAGTTAGTGTCACTTGTCACAGAGAAAAGAACACTAATTATACAAGAGAGAGAGTTTGAGCTCAGTTTAATTAAATTGTGAATGGGTAACCAGCAGCACTTGGAGTGATGCATTAAGATACAGAGCAGCTTTTCCATAGCTCGTCAGCATCAGAGGAACTTTGTGTTTTGTGCCTCTGGTGGGTGAATGCCATTTCTGTTCATTGTACAGCTGTGACAACAGAAAAATTAATTCATTTGCTGTGGCAACGGAAAAGTGAAGCCACCTCAGATTAGTCAGACCCAAAAAAGTGTCCTACCAGGACAGATCATCTGCCTGGCAGTTCTCTTGTTTCTTTTGTGAGCTCTTTGAGGAGATGGTGCTGGGGGAAGGTGACCGTGCAAGAAGGAACGATGCCGCTACGGCACAACCAGCCCCAAGCTGCAGTTCATAGTGATAATTCTGTCAAAAGAAAAAATTGCTCTGGGCTGCTATCTTCGGGACAAACGGTGGCTGAACTGTTCAAATGGGGGGAGCTACAGACCCTCTTGGGCAGAAGGGTGGTCCTACCTTGGAAGAGAGCTCCTCTCTAGCAGCTGGGGCAGGGGAGGGGAATCTGGGACCTGGGAAGAAATCGCTCTTTTTCTTGAGGTTGCTCAGGAAAGGCTTTGAAAAGCTTTAGGACAGCGTGCGCTGCAAGCATCTCTTCTTATTAAACTGGTGTCCTTTAGAAAAGTACTTGTTGATGAGATTGACTTTCTTTGTGTTAGGAACCCGCCATTACAAAGTCATTTTATAGGTGGATTAGGTGCCCTGTTATCTCTCTGGCAGCACACCTACACTGCTGTCTGTAGGAAGAAATCTGTTTTTAATAGGGAAGACAGAGAAACATGTGCAAAACAGTCATTTGAGACAGAAGGGGATCCTAGTACAAACATTTGGAGATGCAACCAGGTCAGTCTGAATAATTTTTTTCTAAAAGTACACTCAAAACCCACAGGTTTTATTCCGCATTTTAGATAACATTTTTATCTTCTGCATAGGTGATTAAGTCAAACTTCTGCTAATACCTAGTTTGCTCACAGTCTTCTAAAAGCACTAAAATTTTAAACTACTAAGCAGTACGTGACTGTGGCTGGCGGAAGCCAGGGTCTTAGTGCTTGGCATCAGTTTGTTAAGATACTACAAGAAGTTTCAGTATTAGCAGCCTGTGGTGCAGATGCAGAGGGTGTCTTCACTTGCTCGATCTGCTTGTTGAGTTTTAGCTTCGTTCAAATCTGAGAGATTATTAATGTAGGAAAGCTTGTCTGGCACTTCCAGACAGTGAACATAAACAAGACCCGTGGAAATCAGCTTTAGTAGTTCTAAAATTTTGGAGGTCTTTAACTGTAGTCAGTGCTTTTCCCTCAAAAAAGACTTTAATAAATGCAATATGCTTTTTTCAGAAGCTTTTCTTTCTTTTCTTATATACCTAGCACAGTAAACTTAATTTATATACCTAAATACATGCTGTTTGATTTTAATTGAATAACGGTTTCCCCCCAACTAGAGCTTATCATACATCACCAGAAAAAAAATAACCTAGTAATTTAGATTTAAAGAATGGTATAATCGGGTTTGCTTCAAAAAGGCCCTAAACACTGCAAATGTAATTGAAATGAAAATTATTATTTAAATAATTTTTCCTCTTACTGACTTAAAATCGCTTAGGTAAATCAGCAAATTGAATCAGGCCAGTCCTGCTATGAGTCCCCCACTGTGCAGTCTCAGAGAAGTAGCTGGCAGTCGAGAGGATGGAGATACCTACAGATGTTGTTCTGGGAGGAGTCCAGTCTGTCATCCTTACCCCGCTGTACGTCACTTCTACAACCACTGAACCTAGGGCGTGAATCCATTTAGTTGTTTATACCTAAACAACAGCAGAATGCAAATCCAAATAAGCAAACAAGATGAGAACCTCGAACGTGATAAAGTTGACCTCAGTTCAAATGCACCGGAGGACAACCCAGTCCTTAAATACATACCAGGACGTCCCTGTTCCAGTCACAGCACTTGGGACTCCGGCACAGGCTTTTTGGGCTGTGCCTCAGAGGTGGGTTGTCTGCGATGACGAGGGCTGACGGAGCATCTCTGTGAAGGGTTGGCACCATCCCAATGGCAGCCCTGCTCCATCTCACCAGGGCTTTGGAAATAACTGGAAACAACAGCGTCAGAAAATCAGCAGTGAGGCAGGAGAGAAGGGCGGCTCAAACAAGTTGCAGTGGTCTCTCCAAAGGTAGCTCAAGTTTCGTGTGGTGGACCATGGTGGTTTTGGGGTGGTGCAGGATTATGGCTATTAAGAGTAAAGCCATGTCCTCATCAAGGAAATGTGCTGCCCCAAAGAGCTCGTGCCTGCAGGGACCTTGTTTTGCCTCGCTGTGCTTCGTGCTACAGACGTGTCCGTTGTACCACAGTCCTCCCGGCTTCCCCTAGCGATCAGTTCCTCAGCCAAGAGTGCCAGCCTTCCAAGCAAAATGGAAATTCAGGGGTGGGGGGGAAGTTTATTTCAAAAGGGAAGAAGTTGCAGTCTACTCCAGAAGACCCCTTGCTTTTGTGTGATGGTAAGAGCAGGCAATGCTGGACAAATTCCAGCCTCTCACATGCTGAAATGGGAGGCTTCAGGTTATCTTCTATAGGAAATCTTTATCTTACTTCATTCTGGTGTGGATGCTAATATTGATACCCTAGTCTGACTCTAACAGCAGTCATTACAGGATAGATCTTCATTGCCTGAGCAGTATCTAGGCGTCCTTGTGTGTTTACAACATTTTCAAGGGATGATTAACAAGTGGGAGCTTCTGCACTACGTTTGTGATTTGGGGTTGGGTGTCTGGTAAGGCGTTGGCTGACAAATGCAGCAAGTTATGGCGTATGGTAAGCAATGCCAGCCGATGCGTTCTGTAAAGAAAGCCTGCGAGGAACACAATGGCACCTAACGTGCTCAAAGAGCCTGTTTTGATCCTGAGTGAGGCCACCAGAAGAGGTGGAGAGACCTAGACCACGGTTCTCTGGCACTGGAGGTTTCTCCTGCAGGCTTCTCAGCTAAGGCTCAAGACTGAGAGTGTGGGTAAGGTCAGTTGGAGGAAAAGGGCCCTTGTCTTGTCTCAGGACATTCCGTTGTGCTGCCAAACACCACAGCCTGTTGAATTCTTGCTTGTCCGCCTGGTGCATCACCATCTCCTTTTTCTTCTCTCTTCAGGTTATTTCCAGGATCTGTTGAACAAGTCAGAAAAGGCCCTTTACGATGCTTTTCCAAGCATGTACGGAGAATTGTACACGCAAAACATGAAGGTCTTCAAGGACTTGTACAGCGAGCTACGCCGATATTACCGGGGCTCCAACATCAACTTGGAAGAGGCCCTCAACGAGTTCTGGACACGCTTGCTGGAGCGGCTCTTCAAGCTGATGAATCCCCAGTACCATATCACGGATGAGTACCTGGACTGCATGGTGAAACATGCAGAGCAGCACAAACCCTTCGGGGAAGTTCCCAGGGACTTGAAGGTGAAGGCAACCCGAGCCTTCATCGCGGCACGCTCCTACGCTCAGGGCTTTCTTGTGGGCAGCGACGTGGTCAAAAAGGTGTCTCAGGTATGTTGGGGTTCCTGCTTCTCCTCCCTCCTCGTATTGGCAGGAGCCAGTCAACTACTGCTGTAGTGGCAGTTTATTTCTTGTTTTGTGGTCACTGCAAAGTAAGAAGGTATTTTTTTGGTTTTGTGAAACAAACTGCTTAAGGGTAACCCATGAGCAGAAGGGAACAGCAAGCCTGGACACCTGCAGGCACTGATAGTGCAGAAGCAGCTGGATATAACTCACCCCAAATCAGTCTTTACCTCATTCTAACCAATACAGCAGAGTACCAAGGAGATGTGTCGGTCGCCCGGGCTGTAAAGCCATTCTGTTGCTTGTCTAGATGCCTCGTGCTTCCCCGACGGGGACATGGCATGCCTCTAAATCACGCTGCCGTATTTTCCTCCTTGATGGCGATATGATGAAGGGCGGGCAGGGCTGACTCGCCACGACCGTGCTGGGAATACAGGCAGAGAGATGCGTTTCGGCGGCCGGCGCTGGGATTGCTGTGTCTGTTTATGTAGCCGTGTGTATTTGTACAGCTTCTGTGTACAGAGAAGGCGAGTTTGTAAAGTGCACTGGGGTCTTCAGGGATGAAAGGTGCTATATAAATGTAAATTAACGTGGCTGAATCCAGGGCTGCAGGAGGAAGGGAATTGTCTGTATTCTTTACTGCAGAAGCAGCCTTTCAGAGCCAGAAGAAGGTGATTGTCCGGAAAGAAGGCACTCAGGCTTTCCAGAGAGGTAGTGAGGAGAAAATCCATACCAAAAAAAAATTACTTGCATACTGCCTGTGGAGATAGCAATCAGCAGGCGTGAGAATCACAGTGTGATTAAACGGTGAATGTAAAAATACAGAATTACAAATAATTTCCTAGGAAGGTAATGTGTAGTAATGCGTAGCAGAGGACGGTACTATTTGATGCAGCAAATCCAGACTTTGATCTCAGGAAGAAACATTAATGTGGTAACAGTGACAAATGCTTTAATTTATCAATATGGGACTATAAAACTGTGCAGCTACCCAAAAGCCTTTGTACATCTCATTAACATCACACTCTCCTGACACTTAAGACAGATAAAAGAGGAGAATGATGTAATTTCAGGGGGACTGAAGTAAAATATTTTTCATAAATCCTCTGAATGGCAGAGATTTCCAGCGTGATCCTGCCTGTAGCAGAGTTTGGTGGATAAAGCAGGCTGGCAGGGCAGAAGGGAAGGACCTGAGATACCCACACACAGCACATCTTTCCCCCTTCCACATTCCTGTAGGCTTCTGACCCATGGATTCTGGTCCTCCCTTTCTGAATTCTCCTCCTTCTCTTGGCATCGCTTCTCGAGTGGGTTGTGGGGTACATGACCAGTCATAGATCCTTCTCTTCCCTCTGCCTCTCTACCTGTTCCTCCAGGATGGAGGTTCCTCCAGGAAAGTCCTGACCATTTCTCTCTCTTACAAGAGCAGTTAACCCGCCGTGTTACCGTGGTGGCCCAATCTGCACGAATTGAGTCGGAAAACCTCAGCAAAGCCTCCCAGAGAGCTGATTTTGTAACAGAGGTGAAAACTGGCTTCAGGAGTGGGTTTAGTGCTTTGGGCAAGAGGAGGTGAGAACGCTGAGGTGGGAAATGCATTTCATGGATGCCCCAGCTGTGTCTAAAATAAAAGGCCTGTTTTACCCACTTGTCCTTCCCAGATGTGGGTTTGCACCAGTGTGAAACGGGCGTGAAGTGCGGAACTCGATCCGCAGCGGGTGCTTTGGTTTTAGTCATTTCTCATGTTGCTTTATACTTCCGAGAAAGTGTATAAGTTTTACGTTAAGACCAGTGGCTGGGATTTGGCTTTGCTGTCAGTTGGTAGCAGCGGTGTTTAAAAATTACTCTCTGAACTGAAATTTGGTATGGAGGAGTGGTGAGCGTTTTGGTCAACAAGCCTGAGAAAGCCCATTTAGCTGGACACTTAGAAATAAATTACTGAGCTTGGGGCTCCTGAAAAATTAGACTACTTTGGTTTTATTTATTTGCAATCCCCACAAAAGCTACTGGTTTCTATTAAAACCTTCCATTAAAGGCCTCCTGCATCTCCATGCCATGCCCCTGCTGCCCCATACACGTCAAAAACCATCCAGAGTCCTCAAATCGCCCTCGGAGACCTGACAACCTGTGAATCCTGAGTGAGGACACAGGAAAAAATAAAGAAGTAACGTTCCATTTCCAGAGGCAGGGAGAGGAGATGTTTCAAAATTAATTTTGCTTGTCAGTCAGAAAGTGAGTTATTAGGACAATCTTTCTTTCACTGGATCTTCATTGCTTCTTGCTCCTGAATTTTAAGTTTTCCCATGGTCGTGGGGATTGACGTGAGATAACATCAGCTACATAAGCAAGAAACACTTACTTAAATAATCTATTTTAATAGTTGTTTTCATTTCCTTTTCTCAGCAGATGTTCTTAAGGACTGTTCTCATTTGAGTTTGAAACAAAAAATGATGATTTTTGTTACTAATTGCAAGCTTTTTCACTGAATCTTGCATTTCATTTTACCGCTGAAGGTTGTCAATCAGTACCTTTTTATTTAAGCAATACTGTGTCTCACAATACATTTCAGCCTTATTTTTTAAACTTTTAAGTTAGTATAAGGTAAATGGCCGCTTTCTTCTTTACCATATGAGTAATTTTTAAACACATGGTGGGTCAAGCTGCATATGGATGGGAACTGAATTCCAATTAAAAAGGCCCCAAAATAGCATTTTTATGAATGTTTTCAATGGTTAAGTGATCATGCTGGACACATATGGAGAATAGTGTTTATCCAGATATGCTTTAACATTTCCAGTAAGTCAGTAATGCAACAAAGACAGTTTGATCATTCCTGGTCCTCGCATCCTTTCGGATTGGAGCCATTTCTCATACCCTACTCTTTTTCCATAGCTTGGAAGGGCAGAGCTGCCTGATGTCTTTCAGCTTCCAGTTGCTTTCTGGGTAAAGTAGGCATAAAATTGATCTGACTAAATAAAATGAAGAATATCTTTTTCACACACTTCTGAAACCGCTGTGCTAAAACATCTCGAGTGCAGTGAACTCCTGTCCCATGTGCTCGATGACACGTCCTCGTCCTTTTCGTGGCTTATCTTTATGCAGTGCGTCAGCAGCAAACACATACAACCGTAAATAATACTTTATTTTGTTCAAAGGATTTGACATTTGCAATAAAATTAAGCATTTATCTAAATTGGCCTCATCTTAATCCCGAAAAGACAATATTAGTGTTTTCTATAGGTGTTATGAGAATGTTGTTCCATGGCACTGGCTGGTAGCGTTATCACCACCCTTATTTCCTTTTCACTGAGTCTTATCCCACCTCTCGCTGTGGAGCTGTTTAGTTTTTTTGCAGGGCAGAGGTGTGTGCTCTTGTGTTAGGACAATGACTCGAGGCAGGCTGCCACTGGGCAGAGGCTGCCTTTGCCCCGGGGAGCCAGAGGGAATTATCTCTCCATCTGGGAGAAGCTCTGATCTGGGACCTGCTCCCACCCAGGGAGGCAGCATTTTCCTTCAGGGAGCTCATCTGTTTGCTTGCACGGGATTTAAAAAGCCTCCCACCTGCAGACGGCAGCTCCCTGTACCCGTAGACAGCCCTGCTGGGTAAGATACCATGCACACGAGTATCTTGATATTCATGGTAAGTACCACTCGTGGAGGCAGGATGCAGCTCACCACAGCCAGGTACAACCAACTGGAGCATGCCAGGGTTTAGGGTATTTTTTTTCCCCTACTGTCATTGCAAACCACCAGTGGGGCTTACTGTAAGTGAGCTGGTCGGTGCCGAAAGTTTGTGCTGCAGCGATTCATAGGGTGGAAAATCATAGAATCCTAGAATCCTAGACTGGCCTAGGCTGGAAGGGACCTCAGAGATCATCTAGTCCAACCTCCCTGTCATGGGCAGGGACGCCTCTCAACTAGATCAGGCTGCTCAAGGCTCCGTCCAACCTGGCCTTGAACACCTCCAGGGAGGGGGCAGCCACAAGCACCCTTTGCAGGTCTGGCTGTGTTAAGGAGAAGGAGGAAGACCAACATCCTAGGACTTGAGAAACCTGTGGTACTTCACCCTTGCCCGTGAGCATCATCTTAAACTACTGGCTGAAATAAGCTCTTGCACCTTCAGTGACTGGTTCCTGCAGCAGCTCCTAGACTGAAATCCTGGGATTGTACAGCTTTAGGTCTAAGTCCCAGTCATCCCCATTCCCTCTGCAAATGCAGAAGCTTAATATCTCTTTCCCCAAGCTCCCCGAGTCATTAGCCTGCCATCAGCTTCAAACAACTTGGTGCATCAGCTCCCGCAGCCCCGCACGCCGCCCTCGTCAGCCCACTGCTCTGTTCCAGCCTCACCGTGTGTAAAGCTGGGGAGGGAGTTTTGCAGTAGCGCTGGAACTTCCCTGGACAGATTTGAATCAAGCTGGATGGGGAGCGTGCAGTCTTGAACACATCCTTATGTATTTCACATATTACTTTCCAGTATTTCTATCCATTATTATGTTTAAAGCACAATCCTTCAGGGGTAAAAACCCATAGGTGTTGTGAATATAATGGAAATAATGCAGGCAAGCAGATATATGTCTCCCGTATTTACCTGGTGGTTAAAAGTCAATTGAATCTAGTTTTGAAAGGATTGAAAATTGTACCAGCTGGAAATAACCACATCAGATGAAGGGAGCAGGGAGTGTGTTGAATAGGCAGGTGGTGGCTTGCAGTATTTTCCTCCAGAGGGAGAGGAGCATGACAGCAACCTGTCTATCAATGTGAATCTTCTTCATTTTAATACCTGAAGGCAGTTGGGCACTAGACAGGAATTTGGAGGCACAAACCCTCCTGGTTAGCTGTGGGTCCTGCCTTTGGTCGGGTGTTCCTCACTGACTGTGGAGGGAGACAGGAGCTGAGTCTGCTCTGTATTTGGCTAGATTACCCTAAGGTTGTTTTTTTTCTTCTTCTTTTTTAATGTTTTATTCTGGGTTTGGAAAATGGCCATTTGGCTG